TAGTTCCTGTGTGCAGGCTTACGACAGCTGTTCTGTTTCGAGGCAATAAATTCGATTCGTTTTTTTTAAAAAGCACATGATGTTTTCCGATATTATAAATGGTGAATGAGCAGTCGTGAACTGAGCATCATCATAGCACCATTTGCACAACTGCCACATATGCAAATACACTGGGGGGAGACGGATGCATTTCCCTAATCACCCATGCAATCTTTACCGTTCCATCGCTGATCCCATTTGTACATACACCTTTGTAACACTACTACATGCGGAAAAAGGTTACCCTCCTTTGATCACGGGAACCGCCGGAATTAGATGGAAAATAGAAGCGCGCCGCGGTTGAAAATAAAACGAAGATTGAGCAAAATTTTACAAATTTAGACATATTTGTGGCTTATCATGTTCGGATTTCTGATTTCTAGCGTTCTTATAATTCAACTCAAAATTGATTTTTATGCATAATTTTTAAAAGAATAAGAAGATTAATTCTTCTTGCGATTGCGGACAGGAGCCGAAGGTCACTAGTGGTATCCAGATTTTGCAGTACAAATGATGTTTGGGACTTCAAGAAACTTCACTATATTACATCCCATGTATAGCAAAATCACTTCATTAAAGATTCTTCAGCAGGTAAATTTCTGATCAGAACGGATTTTGTTTTGCTTGAAAATATGTTCTTAAAAAACCCAAAAAACCTCCTAGCACTGAAGTGCTGTTTCCATACCGGATCCGGAACGGCCTCATCGAGAAAAGGCGACGAGTGGGGCTTCTATTGGCGACGAGCGGGAAGGGAGGGGGGAGCGGGGAGGGGGTGGACGGGGTGAGTCTTCCAGTGGGGCGACAACTTGGGGAGGAGGAAATGGACCTGTTGGTGCGGCAGCGATCGGGAGGAGGGGGCGGAGGAGTAAGATTCTTGGGGGAAGGGCGATGGAGGGCGCAGAAGAGAGTTTTTTTAGTTTTAGCACTACCACCTGAGAAAGGAAGGGGGCGGGTGGGGGGAGTGGAGCATAAGGCCTATCTGGACCCGCCAATGGCTGTCTCAGGATAAGTATGCAAGAATTGGTTTTAAACTGACATTTCCTAATCAACCCAATCAGCAGCACATAAATTACCCCTTCGCACATTCATTTGTCACCGCTAATCCTCAAAAATGCGATAAGTCCAGGAACTTCATCGCTGAAGCAATGTTATTTGAGCGCTTATGTGGATGGGATCGGTAATCAGCACA